TCTAATACAATTAACAGCCATATTATTCAATACTATATAAGGTATATTTTTAATTAATTAATAGAATTTAAACTACTGAATTTAATAGTATTTGATATCAATATATCGTACTATGCATTTATGTTGTAATAAATTGTATTATAACAGCTAATTTAGTAATATTACAATTTAGTATAGTTTTGGGAATCAGATATACAAATAATACATTAAAAAAAAATTATTCTATTGGAATCCGTCATTGTCTTAAGTATTACAATAAATRTGTACGATATATTTACATATCACTTACATTACCGCTACAAAACGTATATTATTATTAAAGTTTAAGACCTCTATTAAATTAGGTACTATAAATTTAGTTATTTGATACCTAACTTTTTAAAAATGTATAGTGTATATGATAAAATGTGACTGATTTCAGCATTAAACTGATAATTATTTTTCTAGCTATTTCTTAATTATATTATAAGTTTAAATAAATAAATAAAAGCAACTATTAACTTAAATTTTTCTATAATAAATTAATTTAGTAAGTAATAAAAAGTCTCATATTTGTCAATATGCATTAACGCCCGACGGTTGTACGTTCGAAATTATTTAATAATTTCCTGTTTAACTTTCCTTACTTATAAACATTCGTCCGACACTCCTGCTGTACAGTGATGAGAGATAATAATAATATGAGTATTAGAGAAATATCGCGTTCTATAAAAATATCATCTCCCTTGAGATAGACATTTGCGAGCGAGTTCAATAATAATAATAAAGATATTTCTGATAATTTCGAAACAATAATAATATTCTTCATACTCGTTTCGATTAAACAGTTTTATGACAACAAAAACCGACGAAAAAATGTGAAGCCTATGTTTACCTATATTCATTGGGGGTGGTGCCCCACGTGGTATAGTGTTTGTATTTTTGACGGTCGGCCTAGTTGGCTGATAATATTAATTATAATACTCAGAAAGACTCTTGGAGAGACACGAGCCCACCACACTTCCACATAAAAAAAAATTTACCTATGCACTTCAAAAAATATATATTTGAAAAAATAAACCAAAGCCCTAGGGAACACCTTTTCCCTCATGACCACCACTGTGCTTTTACAATATTTCATGACAATATTTTTTTAATAATACATATTGTTGAATCTTATATTA